GGCAGCTATTAAATAATAATCAGTAGCATGTTCACCCTGCAAAGAATTTCTACTTGAAATCAGACAAGATTAATCAGAGGAGACTTCTCTGTTCACTAGAAATTTCAGATGAAGAGAGGCTGACACGGACCAGGAACAGGCAGGATTATTCCAACATTTCAGCATTTTATGTTGTTTAGTTTTGTCTCTCATCTCCTTCTAAGAACATTCGGTTTTTATATACTGACATCGATGCTTAATTTGTTTGAAAACAAAGCCTCTGCACACATTCCCTCTGCATTGTTATTTACTTTACATTAGTATTTATAGTCCATTCAGTCGAGCTCTGGAGGAGAAGGCAACTGGCGTCCCAGGGAATGTTTGTTGAAGAGCAGCAGGAATGAGACAGCTCACAGGCAGGGAGATAACTTCCAAGTGTACATATAGTTCCTGCACATATTTAATTTGAGAATCACCATGGCATCAGGATACATGAAGTATCAAGGATGAAGTCACCATCTTTCTTATGTTCTTAAAATCGTAATCCATGCAAACATATTTTCTAGGGAATATTGAGTGCAGGCTTTGGTGCAGATATAAAAAGCCTGATAAGATCTCCTTGCCTGCTGCACACTGTGGGCTGCTGTCAGCCCCAGCCTCAGCTGAGCCCTGGGATCAGAGCATGGGCTGTGGAAGAACTGTGCCTGCCTTGGTCCCACTGAGCCTGCCTAAAAAAGCAGGATTTAAAGTGCACATCTACCACAACCCAGATTTCTTACATGTTAATGGGGTAACACATGAGTACTGGTGAAAGTAAGACCAGCAGAAACACACACCAGACTGACTGAGCAGGAAAATCATTTCCCACTGAAGCAAATCAAGTTCTAGGGGTAATGGTGTTTTACAGCTCTGCAACATGATCTGTACGACCTACAAACCTCCCTCTGCCAAGCCTGAGGGTGGGATTTTCAGCATGCCCAACAGCTACCTGCTCCAGAAGTTAATGTTAAAGCTGTTACTGATCTCTGGGGAGCAGAATTATCCCGAGTACTAAAACACCCAAATCTCACCTTCTAAAACAGCTTTTCAGGACTCGGTTATTAGAGCTGTTCAAAATCCAGACAGCGCAGTATCTGACATTTTTACTGATAAATTCAAGGAGAACAGGAAGTTCTTATGCTCACAATCTCCAGCATACGAGTTCTTTTCTGCAGATCTGCCACAATGCAGAGAGATTTTATATTTACACCATCAGCTGCTGAAGTGCTCAAAGAAAGGAAATCTAGGCATGGCAGGATTACACAAAACAATCCTTAAACCACCTCTGGGCACGAGGGTTCTTCAAGGGTTGTTATCCCAGTGCCTGAGCAGTGCCAGGCCTGTGCTGTACCCAGCAGGTCCTGTGGCACTGATGGAGCTTCCAGCTCCCCTCTCTGTGGCTGGGGCATCACCCCATCCTCGGGCTCCTTCCCTCTGAGCTATTTTCAGAAAAGCCTCCTGCATGAGCAATGGCCCTGAGCCCCCTCAAGGTGGCCCATCCTGGATTAGAGCAGTCTCCCCTAGAAGCTCATCCCACAACTGCAGTGTTTTATTTCCAGTCCTCCCATGAAATATGCCTGTGCAATACACGCTGCTGAGCACGCAATAGGTTAAACAAATTGATGATAAAGTATTCGACTTCGTTAGTTTTCATTACCATAAGAAAACATCAATTACATTTTCTATTTTATGAGTGTACACAGGGGAATCCATTACAGTAAGGGAGAGGCTGCATGACTCCTTCTGCTGCTTCTCTCCTCAGCAAAAAGAGCAGTTTGTTTTTAAAGGCAGTGACACCAGCCCAGAGGAAGGGAAGGCACACCGGCATATCTGCATAGACAGCTCCTATCCTGATTTATCCAGCCTGGCTCCAACTAATTAAACATCTGCCTCAACGATTTCCTCTGCAGATTTATCTTCTCCAGTATGCAGCACTGACTGGTTGTTACAGGCTCTTTCCCAACTTGCAGCCATTCCCTGCCCTCCTCCCAGCTGGTTCCTTGGGCAGGAATTGAGCCAGCCCCCATGAACCCCCGTGGGTGCCTGTGGTGGGACAGGTCCCAGGTCCCACAGTCCTGCTGCAGGACAGCCACGACCTCCAGGAAAGGGCTCAGGGCCACGGCTCTCCCAGCCACAACACATCCAGCCACTTCACCACCTGCACTTCCCCTTGACTGCCTCAATATTATTATTTTTAAATGGTCAGAGTTCATATGTCAAAAGCCTTGAGACACTAAGAAAGGAGAATTGCAAGGAAGGTGAAATAGTTTGAACAGTTTGCAATAATTTTATCTAAATAGAGCTAGGCACAGTCAGAATATTGCTTCTGTTTTTCCAGGCCCCTTTCTGTGAAGAAAAGGTTATAGCCCACTTCTCTCTCCTGCTGATCAGTATTTTGCTGCAACAAATAATTTTTACTGGCTGAACAAAGTATTTGGAGAAAACTAGCCTAGTATTTTAGCCTAGTCATGCTGAACAAACCCTTCCCAACTATACCACAGGAATTCCTCAAATTTTCCTCACCCAAAGTAGCCAACCCATGTTTGCATTTTCCCACCAGTCCAGAACCAGTCTGAAAAATGCCCTGTAAGTCAGTGGTGAAAACAGATCAGAAAGCAACTGCTTCTACCAGTACTTGTCAGCAGCATAAACTGTAATGCAATAAATTCTTCTGTCCTGAAAAGGCTGATCTGGAGGCCCATTGAAGACAGGCAGAAAAGCTCACGGGCATTTCTGTGTTATTAAACTATTCCAAAAACTTTAAATAAACACATTCAGCCTATCTTTAGTAACGACTTTTTAAAAATCAGACCAATCAGCTTTAAAGGAAACATTGCTGAAAGAGGAGAAATGTTTCTCCTAAATGATGTTTTTTCTTTTACTGAGAACTTTGACATCCTAATCCAGTGGTTAATGATGGCCCTGGCCTAGGCTTGTGCTGTGCTAATGCTCTGATCTGCAATTCTATTTATCCCTGCATCTCCCAGTGACAGCAAGAGGCACATCCTCTCCAGTGATGAGGGATCTGGGGGTAGGTGAGGAATGATGGGAGAATCTTTCCTTTTAGTCCTGCTCCAGTCTCTCTGTGCCCACTGTGGTGGCATCCTGAGCTCTCCTTGCAGCCTGTCTGGATTCCCAGGGTCCCCTCTGCGCACACAGCTACAGTTGCTGCTGCTTTAAAGATAACAGCAAGACCTTCCTAAGCCCTCCCACCTCCCTAAAGCCTGATAATCCACATTTTGGGAGAGGGATGTAATTGGGAATAAGGAAAGGTTTGGATAAGCTAAGTTAATGTTAATAAAAATTTCTGATACATCCCTATATACCCTGTTCCTGAAAAGGGCTATGAGCAGGAGGGCCAAGGCAGCAAAGCGAATGCATTAGCTGAAGGAAGGAATGCCAGGTCCATTCCTGTTCTAAACTACTGAGCAAAAATAACAAAGTCAAAGCAGAATCAAATTTCTAACGGACAAAGAATAAAACATCTGTTACACGAAGTGGGGAAGCAGTTTAAAGACTGAGCTAAGTGAATCCTTTAGCAACCTCCCTTCAGGGAAGGGAAATCTGACCCCAGGAAATAAATAAAAGTCACCCAAAAAGTGAACAAAAGAGGTGTTTGAAAAAACCCCAACACCATTCATCGCCGCTAACGACTTGTTCATTATGAGTGATGATGGATAAAGACTTCTCACGCTGAGATGAAATCAAGATTTATATGCATTGTTTCCTCTCCCAACTTGTGGGAAGATCATCATCATTTAATTCTATCTCTGCGGCCAGCGATGGGCATCCAGAGAGGCGGCTCTCACACGGCGCAGTCAGCTGGCAGGGCCGGGACGTGCCGTTGGCACATCTGGACGCGGCGCCGCAGCCGGGCTGAGCGATGGCTGCTGGCCACCCTCCAAATTGCTGCAGACTGGCGGGGCTCCTCTCCACCCCCCAGCACTGCTCCTCTCCTCCTCCCCCAGCTTTTTTTTTTTTTTACGAGAATCAGATTTTCATTGCTCCATTCAATTGCTCTTCTCTGCCATTTTTTACAGCTCTTATCGTTCCCTTGGAATATGGCCTTGAGACAGCTCATCCGTGTCCTTCACTGTGTTATCTCTTCTAACTTTTATTAAAACTTCAGCTCTCATCTGAAGATAGCTAATTAAATCCATGACAGATTATACACGCATTTAAAAACTGCATTGAACTACTTTTTCTAAGGAGAACAGGGTTTATTTTCTTTTCCCATAGTTAAAACTGAGGGTGTATAAGGAGGTTTCATTCATTTACAAAGACAAGATCCTTATCTTTCCCACTATATAGATGGGTTTATATTAAAGTTCCTTTGTTGCGTGACAAGACTCAGTGCAATTTCTCTCAGTAATTATTTCTTGTTGCTGGAAAGATCTCTCAGCCTTATACTTCTGAAATATATGCACTAACATATATGTGAATGCACATGTACTCCCCAGAAAAACGTTGTCTAAAATAGAAATACAAGTGCTGTACATTTTCCTTTTTTAAGTGTTCATATGCCTTAACTATAACAGCACTATTTTGATAACATTGCAGAAAGTAAATTTTTCACTACATGTACCAATGAGTCCTTGAAATTATTTAAAATCGCACTAAGCATAATTTTCTTACATAAATTAGAAGTATATATACAAACTCTATCATGGGCTGGACTTGCTGTACTTCTACCCATCATCCCAAATTACCATGAACTGGTCTTGAATGCAAATGGCTTTGTTATCATAAATAAATATTTGCAGGAATAGATATACTGCTCTGCAGCAAACATTATGCAGCTCCTGCACTGCCAGCTCTGTGCCAGCACGGAGAACACAGACCTGTGCACAGAACTGCTGTGAGTGGGGCTGAGACACAACCCCCCCAAAACCTCAGCAATGTTCACAACAGTCAAAAAGAGATATAAAATATGCTCATAGAGAAAACACCCTGCCCTCTAGAAAATACGATAAATAACCCACCTGAGCCTCTCTGTGATCCCTTCCTTCTCTTTAAGGCCTTTTGTAAGATATCCTTCATGGTGACCTTCATACTGTCCACCTGAATAAGTGAGAATCCATGAGCAGCATTTCTGCAAGACAGATGCACATGCAGTTTTACAAAACAATCATCACTGGCAGCTCCCCGCAGCCCTCGTTAGCTTCAAGCAAAGCACTCGTTAGGCACACGGTTAACGAACTTGGGCTGGGAAGGGAAGTTAAAAGGAGAAACCAAGCAAGCTGCCTTAGCAAGGCAGAGACAAAACCAGCCAAAATGGGTTGAGATTCAAGACAAGGAAAATAAGGATTTTCCTAATTTATTGTTATTTTTGATCACTTGGCATTCAGCATTAGAAGAGAAAAATGAGCCAGTGTACCTGGGGGGCTCCTCACCTCCTCATCTCCTGTCTGTGTTTTGCAGCACACAACAGGGAAGCAGTTTGCAGTGGCATTTTCATCCGTGTCCCACACGTAACAAACCATTAGGGACAAGTGGCAGAACACCCCTCAGTGACAGCAGCCTTGCAGCACTATCGAGGTATTGCTTCAATGCATTATTTCCAGCCTAACGGGATTTCTTTGGACATGGTTTTGTGAACACAATGGCACAAAATCTCCCAGAAACATCCAAGGCAGTGGGTCCGTGTCCTGGCCATCACCCATGGGAGAGGCCACACAGGGGAAGGACTGCAAAGAGCATGGGGACAGCTGTGGGGATGCTGCTGCCAAAGAGGGGCACCCCTGGGGCAGCAGAGAAGATGACAATATAATAGAAGAGACCCTGAACGAGCAGATCAGTAAATTTTGCCCTTAGCCCTCGCAGTCAGTCTCGGCTCATGTCAGTAGATGTCACTGCAGACAGTTCCAGGGAAATCCGAGAGCTGAAGGCTCCCACCGGAGAGATTGCTCTGCATGGAAAAAACTGGTTTGCAAAGCTATTTGGGCAGGAGGAGGAGCCTCGTATCTGGCAACCAGGAATTTTAATCAGGGAGTACAGCTCTATATGAACAGCACAGCTGGAATATTTTTAAAAGCAACTGGCAGGCGAAAGCAATCCAAGCAACACAAGTACATCCTGCAAAACAAACCCATATTGCATGTCACTTTGAAACAAATGCTGGACCAGAGGCTGGAGCTCAGGTCACATCAGCATCCCCAGCCACGGTGACCCAGCCAGGACAGAGCCTCGCCTCTCACTGCTCAGGGCACTGACTGCAGCTGCCAGGGGGGCCAGGAGCCCCTGCCTGGCCATGGGCTGGTCACACCTCGGTGCCTTGGGGGCCCCTCGTGCTCCTGGGAGCAGCAGCCCAGCCTGGGCTCAGGAGATGTCCCCCCTCACTGGTGTGAGACGTCATTTCCCTCTCCTCACTTGTGCATTGGTCTCATCTGAATTTCATTTTCAATTCCCTTTGTTCCTGGCAAAATGAAACTGCCTAAAAGCCCCAAATTTATGTTCTCCAGACCATTTATTATTTATAACTCTATCTTACTCGTCTTCAAACCAAATAATCCCAACGTTTCCATGCATCTACTTTTCCCTCTGTTTCTGCTGAATGCTCAGCGCTGCAGGAGCAGAGCTGAGGGAGGGAGTGCCACCAGGTCTGCAGGTGACACTGCTGTCCTGGGAACAGCCCCAGGGCTCAGAGGCTAACCCTGCAATGAGCAGAGATCTTCCCCAGCACTTCACTGAGGAGCAAATCTCCCCTGAAGCTGCTGTGGAGCCCCATGAACTGCACGAGCACCACACACTTGCCCTTTACCTGGCCAACCCCTCGCTTCCCAAAAGCCTCCCAGCTTCAGTCCCAGCTGACCTGCTGAGCAAAATTCAGTGGATTCTTGAAAGTGAAAAACTTATTCTACAGTTATAATCACAAAAAGAAAACTACCTTTGTGCTTTTATTTAAGCAACACAAGGTTTCATTTCAGTGCTGCATGAAAAGCCCTCCATGCTGGACCAGGCCATCACAACACCTGGTGCCTCCAGGTAATTCATACGATGCTCTGCAATACCCACAGGAATTTTCCAGAAAACTCCAACCAAAGCACAGGGAAGTAAATTAAAATACTCCAGGGAAAAAAGAAATTGCAAAGGCAACAGAAGTCTTCCATAACCTGCTATGGCCAAAACAAACTGGAGTCACAATTGTACAGAATGCTTTTCAACATTTTTCACCCCAAACAGAGCAGGGCCTGCAGCCCCCTTCCCACTGGGCACAGAGAGGCCATCAGCAGATGGCCCCAGCTCAGGGCTGGTCACGCCCATGGATCAGGAACGTCCCAAAAAGGGAAGGTTCTCTCTCAGTTGCTGACACTTCAGCTGCTAAAGAGCACAGGCTGCTGCGATCCGCCCGTGTTCCGGCCGTCCCGGCTCAGCCGATCCTTTCCATTGAGCAGCTGGCCTGAGAACTGTCAGACTGATTTCCCTGACACTCCATTACTAACCCCTGCCCGAGCCACGGCCATTCTTTGCCTCAGAAGCTGGATCTCATCCCAGAACAATCTCTGAAAGTTTATTTTACTGATCAAAGCAAAATAAGAAAGCCTCTGTGTTTTGCTATATTTAGTGTGCGAGCCGTGAGTGAGTGCTTGGCAGGAGCGGTGGGACGCAGAGCGCGCCCCGCTTTTGTAAACTCTTGGCTGTTTGCTCTGGAGCAGAGCCAGAGGGGCCAAACCCCCAGCCTGGTCCAGCTGCTCCCCTCCCTGCCCTGGCTCCCCTCTCACAAGGCACCACAGACTGTCAGAGCAACATTTCAGCACTCAGCAACCCCACACATCTGAGCCGGGGGTGGACTTAAGCCCAGACCAAAGAGCTCCTGCCGTCATCCTGGGGCCAGGCCAGAGCCAGGGCATGTTTCTGTGCCCAGAGGAGAAGCCCTGCAGAATCACAGATTAGCTGGGAAGCTGCTGGGAAGTGACCTCTGGAGATCACCCTGTCCAATCCCCAGCCCAGGCAGGGTCACCCGGAGCAGGGGACACAGGAAAGTGTCCAGGTGGGGTTGGGATATCTCCAGAGAGGGAGACTCCAGCCCCTCCCTGGGCAGCTGTTCCAGGGCTCTGCTCCCTCCATGGAAAGAAGTTCTTCACATTGAGGTGGAGCTTATTGTGGTTTAGTTTAAGCCCACTGCTCCTCGTTCTGGCACTGGACTTGCTGCCAGGGCGTCCCAGAACCATGGTTGGCACTGGAGCTTCTGGAGCACCAGCAACCCACCACACCCTGCCTTGTGTGACCACAGCACAGGAGTTTGTGCTGGAGAAACACACCCCCACCTCAGCTCACCATCCCCAGCTTGCTCTGCACTGGCCATGGGCTGGACTGCCCTCACTCAGCCCAGTCCCAGCAATCCTTAATTGCAATCACAAACGATGTGTTCTACCTCACTCTGCTAAGATGCAATACCTTTATTTTAGGTCAACACACTGAAAATAGGACAGACAAGCAGATGCTGGTCAATCAATTAAAACTGCTGCTGGCAAATTGGAAGCCAAAGAAATTCCTTAGCTTGTATTTTCTGTCATTTTGCAAAAACATACCTGGGTGACAAGGTTAAATCAAGCAAAGGAAATCCCTGGCACTTATCATCCACAGGCATTACTGATAAATTGTGCAGTGGAGGAATAAAGGATTACCTTCTGTATTTTTTCATTACACTTTTCTTTTGTTACAGAATACATAAATCCATTGTGGCACAATGTAATATGTATCATCGTGCTACACCTGTGGACGTTTCATAACGGCTGCCATGTCTGTGCAGTCAGGAATGATAAGTGAACCACCCGTGAATGTTAATGATAGTGATCATTCTGCAGTAACTTGGCTTTCCATCTTCTTTTACAGCCTCCGTGCTGGAGCCAGGGTGGCAAGGTTCAGGAGAGGGAAAGGGAAACAGCAGCAGAGGCAGAAGCTCTCCTCGTGGTGCTGAGGTGCCATGGGAACAGGCAGAGTCCCCACTTTTGCCACAAAATAAAACAACCTACACTGGAAGGACAAAAGGTTTCTACCCTGAATGAGAATAGAGCTTTTTGAAAAGCTCTTTTCCAATCTGGAGCAATTTTAATTTTTTTTCTTTCTTTTTTTTTTTTTTTTTAACACAGAAGTGGAATTCACTTTCCAGAAGTGGAATTTATAGCACTTAAAGCTCACTGCATAACCAACTGGCATGGCTGGAAGTGCCTGGGAGTGACTAATAGCAATTTCTACTTGATCAGCACAAAGTCAGAGTTAAGACTCAAAATCCCAGCTGATGCAATGGATTTACCTTAAGCTGGGTAATTTTTAAGATAAAGTGCACAGTGATAGGAACTGGACTAGCTAATGCCAACCACAAGTTTTACTCTGAGCCTAAAAAACCTGGTTTTGTGCATCTCAGATTGGCCTTCATAGCTCTGTGCACTACTGAGTTTAACTGGCTGCATTTTGACACCACTTTAACAGTCCTTAGACCTCTACCAAGTCTTCTGGTGCCCTCCTACTCTTCCCTCTCCACTATCCTGGGAGCCACATTCTAAATTTTGCACCCACATTAACTGTCTTAAATTTTATATGAATATTCTAAAATGTACTTCGCAGATTACCCACCCCCATGCACAAACCAGGAACAGGCCTTTGGGGGACTGCTGCTGGAGTCCAAGAAAAAACACATTCCAGGGCTTCGAACTGAATTTGCAAATGCACAATGCAAATCTGGGATCGTAAAAGGGTTTCAAACCTTAAACTATCGGATATGGCAGAGGTGCTGCTTTGAAAATTCGTATATAATTGTCAAAGCAATTTAAGAACAATATCAAAACAGAAAAAAGTGCTACAGAGCAGAAGAACTGGATGCCAAATTTCCTGTGTGCCAATTGGCAGCTGAGCTACAGCTCCTCGAAACACCATTAGATCGAGTGTGTCGAGTTCCAATAATAAAATTTCCAAGGGAAAAAGCCCTAATGATGGTACAGATTTATTTTAAGCCTTTCAGGTATGACCTCACCACCTCAAGAAGTCTGTATTTCCATGGATGTGGTGCTTTGTTTGCCTCTTCCTGACAAACCCCTCGACAGGAGAGTGGGGCCATGTGAGTGCCTGATGTTGGACAAAGCTCTGCTCTCCACAGCAGCCACCTTCCAAAAACATAACTCGCTAGACTAATGGGCAGTGAGCAGCCAGAACGACTGCCCTCCGTCTTCTCCTTGTGTAACTTTGCCAGAGTCCTTGGAACTTGCCAAATTCGGTCATGCCTGCTTAGCTTGCTCAACTGATTGTGCCAGAAAAGAAAATAAGACACAGATGTATTTGAGCTCTTTGAGATGCCAGTAAGAGCGACAGCTAATGGCTTCATTTCGACCCTCCCCTACCAGCTGGGCACAGGTGGGGGGATAATGAGGTCCCTCTCCCTAATCAAACTCAATTATTTACTACTCTGTACAGCCACAAAGACATTCACATCCAGCTCGGAATATAAACTGCACTGCAGGCTACTCCCAGCCACCACCTCTGGGTATTTATAACGAACTGGAGTGGCTCAGAGTTTGCCTTGGCAGCAGTTGAAGTGTATAAAGTTCTGCAAACTGTTTCTGCTCAAACATGTCCTGCTGCAGGGGGTCCCTGGCGGGCCCCGCTGCGCTGCGCTCGGCGACGGCAGCACGGGCAGAGCGAGGTGGAACAGGCTCCAGCACCGAGCTCCTCACACGCATCAACATTTTTCAACAGTGATTCAGTATTAATAAACATTACAAGTCACAAGGCTGACATGGCAGCAGCTGAAGTACTTCAGCACCAGGAGGAAAAAAAAGAGATGCAAAATATAAAACCACAATTACATGCACCGGTAGGGTGACAGGGGAGGAAGAAGACATAGAATTTACAGCAAATCCCTACAAAAATATGACAGCACGCACATGTAAACTCACAGAGGTAACCACCTTTTGATTAAGTGATGATCAAGTCATTCTTTATTCTAGGGGACACATTAAAAATTCTAATTTAAACCTAGCTATTTACACAGTAATCGCAAGCCATTTAAAATTAAAATGTGGACACTGGTACCACCGAACTGACCCTTTCAGAAGAACACTGCTTATGATGCAGCTGTCCTATTTCTCCTCAGCAGCACCTTCCAAGCTAGAAGGAAGCTCCTCACATCAGCACAAATGATGGTAAACCAAAAGATGTTGCATTTTTCTACAGACCCTGCAGCTTGACACTGCTCTGGCTCCCAGCTGCAGGCAGAGCTGTGCTGGCCAGGCTGGGAGCTTGCCGAGGGAAGGGCAGAGCCAGCCCCCCAACCTGACCCAGCCCTGCTCACTGCAGAGAAAACTGACCCCAACCCGACCTACCCCTGCTCACTGCAGAGAAAACTGACCCCAACTCAGGCACCCAGGGCAGCACTGGGGTAGGGGCACAGCTGGGAAAGGGCACTTCTGCCAGATGAGAAATCAGCAACCATTTAGAGTTGTCTATAGACAATGACCTCCCCTTCCTCAGCACAGCCCAGCATCTCAGCCTTGAATAACTTAGTTGTGAACACCGGGGCCAGAATATTTTATTTCTCAGTGCCCTAATGCAGTGGAATAAAGTGAATGTGGCCTTTGGGAATACACGTGGGATTTCTGACAACGGCTTTCTGTAGGATGCTTTGGAACGTCGCTAAGAAACACAGTACACAATAACGAATATAAAAACTAATTAAATAAGCCAGATTTAAAAAAAAAGTCTGATTATTCAGAACTAGAAGCAGCTGTAGTGTTCAGAAATGTAAGTAATGTCCAATAACCAGGAAAACCCTATTAGCATTTTCATTTCAAGAGCTCCAAACATGAAATATTTTTCCCAAGTAAGAAGTGGCTTATGCTCCTGGCATTTTGTTCTAGTAATTAAGGCCTTCTGATGGTTTAAGAGATTTTTCATTCACAAGTAAAGGAAAATAAAAGTGATCAAGCACAGTATATATCCCTATTTCACCGATAAGGACATAGCAAATTCTTCTTGATCTACAAGGCAGACAGCTCAGGTCTCAGGGGTGGATGGGATGTCCCTCACCAAACCCTTCTGGACGTGGGAGGGGAATGTCCAGAATGCCAGGCCAGCTCCAGCCGGTGTGCCTGGTTACTGCTCATTTCTCAAACACGTCTTTGTTATCAAGCCACGCTGCAACACTTTGGTCTATAAAGTGGTCTATAAAACCACTTGCCCCACTGCAGAGCACCAGCAGCAGGTGTGGCCCCGAGCTGGGGCGAGGTCCGTGAGGGAGCAGGGGAGGAGGAGGCGGAGGCGGCCGGTCCCCAGGCCAGGCCGGTACTCACATGCGCACGAAGAGCGACTGCTTGGCCGCCAGCCCCGGGGACGAGTACTTCTCCACCAGCGCCAGCGTGCTGAAGCCAAACTTGTGGATGGGCTCGTTGGAGTCCAGGGGGGGAAAGTCCGTGTCCACCTCGCCGTCGTCCTCGGCGATGTGCAGGCAGTAGGCGCTGACGTTGTCGCTGCAACAGAGAGCGCCTGGTCAGCAGCGCCTCGGGGCTGCCCCCAGACCTGCAGCCTGCACGGGGCAGGGCTCTGAAACGCCCTGCTGCTGCGGTGGCACCGCTGGTGTGTGTGGTGGCACTGCTGGTTTGTGTGGTGGCACCGCTGGTTTGTGTGGTGGCACTCACTGGTTTGTGTGGTGGCACCGCTGGTTT